TCTCCATAATACATAATCCTTCCTAGGGGAGGGGAGTGGCCTTCTGATGATAACTGAAGAGAAAGGAGTTCTTTGCAGAAGCCTGTGATCTTAGGAGGGCATGCCAGACCAGGCCCAAATGAAGAGGAAAGCAAGGCCAAGTTTGTCAGAAGAGAATGTGGTGACATCCTGCTATGGTGATTGCCCCAAAGGAGCTGAGAATCCCCTTATGCTCGTCAGCAGCCTACCTAATCTGGAGGCTTGGCAGAAAGAAATCCCAGCCATGGAATAAATCCCTCTTCATTCATTCCACAAGCATTTTTCAAATATTTGCTATCAAGTAAGGGAACATTTTTTTTAATGTTTATTTATTTTTGACGGGGGAGGGGCAGGGAGAGAGACATAGAAACTGAAGTAGGCTCTAGACATGGGGCTCAAACTCAAGACCCTCAAGATCATGACCTTAGCCGAAGTTGGATACTTAATGGACTGAGCCACCCAGTGCCCCCATTTTTAACATGAAACATTTATAAGGAAAAAGGAAGGAAAGAAGTATGCTCACACATGAAAGAATACAGGTGTATAGTATTTCAAAATACTCAAAGTTACACCAAAAAGAGTCCATGCTCTGATTAGGAAATTTAATTATTTTTAAGGCATTTAGATGAGAGCTTTATTTATGTTAAGGTTAGTTTCCTCCTTTTACTTCCTCTTTCAAGGTTCTTTCCTACTTCCTTCTATGAGAACAACTTTAACCATTCTTATGGAGCTCAAAAACTATGCAAATAGAAGAAGTACACCACTAAGTCTTATCTATTAAACATCTTGGTTTCAAAGAGCACAGAAACACATGACTCAAGACAGAAACTATACTGCTCAGTGTGGAAATACCACTAAAAATCAGGAACCAAAAGATAAAAATTATACTTCAGCTTTACAGAAGTACAGTTAATAACTTAACTGCTGATGTCTAACACCTAGCTGTCAAGTCCTGCTCAACCCTGGAACTTTCCCAATTCTATTCTAAGTGACCAGACCATAATCATAGAGAGGTAAATCTATATGTGATTACAATCAATGATAACAACACTGTTGAAATGGCGGCTATGGTAAAAGAAAAAGGATGCTCTATGGGAGTTAAGAAAAAGGCTCAAGAAGGCAGCATTCATTCTCCAGGTTGGAAAGACATACAATCTGGGGGCGCCTGGGTGGCTTAGTCGGTTAAGCGTCCGACTTTCACTTAGGTCATGATCTCACGGTTCGCGGGTTCGAGTCCCGCGTCGGGCTCTGTGCTGACTGCCAGCTCAGAGCCTGGAGCCTGTTTCAGTCTGTGACTCCCTCTCTCTCTGACCCTCCCCTGCTCACACTGTCTCTCTCTCTCCTAAGAAATAAAAAAAATAAAAAAAAAAATTAAGGAAAGACATACAATCTGGCAGACTTAAGTATGATACCTGGTAAGGAGACACCAAGTATAAGGTAGGGACAAAGCTTCACCTTGCCTGAATAAAGTATTCACCCAAATCATCCAGGTATTTTGGCTCCAATTCCAAGTTCACGTAGAAGCTTTCTGGTTAGCTTCTCAAATATTCTGACAGCAGGAATCAGATAGAGAACATTAGCAGTTAGATCCCTGGAAAAGACTATCCCCCCATAGTAGGTTAAAAGAGTGGAATTGTTGTTTATACAATAGGCAATAATACAGTGTAGTGGTTAAATGCCCAATACTTGGAGGCATGTTTTTAAATCCAGACTATTGTTTAATTTACTTCTTTGTGCTTCAGTTTTCATTAAAATAGAATATGTTTATTTGAACATTAAAAGGATTGAGTTAATGCATGTAAAGCATTTAAACCTTCGCTGACATGGTTTACAGTGCTCAATAAAGCCACATAATTTTTCATAACTATTAAACATCTCCCGTGATTTTGACTTAGGAATCAAAATCCAAGCATGATCAACCCTAAAAAAATTGTGATTTTTAGACTATCAAAGAAGTGTCACAATGTAAGGCCTCAGTAGTCATGTAGTAATATACTATATGTAGGTGTGTACAGCCTGGGCAGGGTGGGAAGACACAGGTTGTGAAGGGCTTTGTACACTCTACAAAGAAGCTGGGAATTTTATTTTATAAGCCTCAAGAGGCCACCTAAAGGTAACCTCAATTATCAAAGCATTGTTCAAATAAATTTAAATCCAAGTTACAGATCTCACAAAAATCAACATGATGAGGGGATTCCAGAAAAATACACTCATCAGTGGTATATTTTAGTAGCAATACAACCTAAATTGAAACCAAAACCAAAACATCAGTGAGTAAATGACGGCAAAAAGAACCCCACCTCTACCCCAAGTCTTACAAAAGAACAGTACATGCTGTTTCCTGGCTCTTCAATCAACTTCCTCCAATTGTTGGAGGCAGTAGATCCATCTGTGTCAAGTCTCTACCCACGGCAACAAAGAAAAGACCAGTCCTTGTCATCTGGTCCTCTCTCAATCTATAGACCTACAAACAAATTATGGCACTAGAATCACAAAGTTCAGTACTCTTGGATGCAAGCAACCTCATATATTATAAATATGCATAATGCTGAGTTAAACACAACTAAAAAACAGACTTCCAGAATGTTTAAAACACAAGAACCAGAGGGGGGAAAAAAGCACCTTTAAATCAGAAAAAAAAAGAAAAACAACCACCACCACAAAAAGGAGCTAATTTCACTAAAACGTCTAACATCCTCTTTTTCCCTTTTACTATTCGAATCTACTTTTATCTGGTGAAACCAGATAAGTAAGTTTGCTAGAAGTGTGTCACAATAGTGAATGCCATCACTGGGTTCACAGAATTTTAAAGTCCAGTGGCCTTGGCCAATCCTTAATTTTAAAGTGGGTAGATTACGGGGCACTTGGGTGGCTCAGGGTTAAGCATCTGACTTCGGCTCAGGTCAGGATCTCAAGGTTTCTGAGTTCCAGCCCCACTGTGGATGAGCTCCCTTCTCTCTCTCTCAATCTGCCCCCTCGCTCACTTGTGCCCTTTCTCTAAAAAAAAAATTAAAAATATAGACCGAGTAGCTTAGTTCCAAAGCAGTATTTTCCCGGGTGCAGAGTAAGAATACAAGATGATTTCAGCTGTTATGTAAGCAACAGTCATGTTTTTAAACAGTTCTTATTTTTCATTATTTTAAATGTTTATTTATTTATGGGGGGGGGTGCAGAGCCCAATGTGGGGCTCAAACTCATGAACTGTGAGATCATGACCTGAGCTGGAATCAGATGCATAACCAACTAAGCCATCCAAGTGCCCCCATATACAATTATGTATTTAATAGTTACATGTATATTATAACATGTACTAGAAAAGGATATAAAATTCATAAAAACCATGATTTCACAGATTATCACTTTGGAAATGGGTAATGTTGAAAACAAACCTATTAAAAATATGAAATAAAAATAACACAGATGATCTTCTAAAAGACAAAGTTTACAATGGCAGTATGGTTCATAATGAGTGAAATACTGACAGTTGTTCTATGAACAACTTGGGCTTGTTTCTTTATTTACCTGCTTCCTTCTTGGCTCAAGGCTATGTTCTGAATGATTACAAAAGATGTGACTTTTAGTTAAGTAAGCTTCCTACTATGCTTAAGTTCATTTAGAGTAAAAGTAGCAAGCACTAAGATACATACAGAAATACTAGTTTAGAGGAAAGAGTGTTACACTGTTAAGAAAATAATGGCACAGTAAGTCATTGGTATCCTGAAACTACAATAACAGCAATTTTCTAGTGCATATCCACATACAATAAGCACTCCCCCCAAAAATAAATAAAAAATAAAATAAAAAAACCTAGTAACACTGATAAATATTTGAGCTATAGGCTGTTGCATGATCGTTTTATTCACTTTCACGTGATCTGTCAAAGGGGCATGGTAATGTGAGAAGAGGTGTTTCTCCTAATATTTATATGAACGCGTTCTCTCTTGCCAAAGGAACAAAAGACAATTAACCATTAGATGCCTTAGGCATCAACTGTGATTGTGGAAGAAACATTTTTTAAAAATCTTACTATGAAATATTTTAAGGTTAGATTTCAAAGTATTCTAGTTAATGATGTCCCGTGAATTTAAAGTGCGGTATTTTCCAGGCTAGAAAAGAACGTAGGAGAACCATTTATATCTGGACGTATCTGCCGTATTTTACCCGCAAATGTGAAAGCCAGTCTTAAGAGCACCAGGGCAGATGGAGTAATAAATCTCTCAATTCTTGAAGTATCTGCTACTAAGAAGCAGCTACATTATTTTCACATGGCCGAGGGAACGCTGTCAGAAGCTGCCAGTATCCAAACAACCCTCTCCAGTGGTCCACCCCCTACTCCCTGAAGATGACTAGCAAAAGGCAAAATGATACTCCCTCTCGTATTTGACGTCTTTTGGTTTCCTCTACTCTCATGTACCTTTCCTAACACTGTAGTGATTGACTTAAAAAAAGGCTGAAATGAAACAGCACTTTCCAGTACTTCCTCCCTACCCCCAACAACTTCAGACTGGAATTGTGAAATTCGTTCTTACGGATCCTTCGTTGAGCCTGCAGTAAAGCCACGAGGTAAGAATGGACTTTCCTACAGAGCATGGACTTTCCAACGCCACGAACCTCAGAGACCTTCAAACAACTAGTTCAGAGCTATCCGATACCTTGTGGTCGCCATACAGTCTATTAATCACGACCACGGCAACACTGTAGGGAACAGGGAGTGGGAGTTTACCTCTGCTTGGTTTTGGGGAGGGGACCTGCGAACCACCAACCCGCCACCCTTCCTCCGCCGACCCCTCGGTAGTTTCCCGGTGCCTTGAGTCCTTGCTCAGGGCCCGACCTGGCCAGTCCAGTCGAAAGCACCTCCTCCTCCTCCCAATAAGCCCGACCCCACCAACTTTTAAGCCATCACAATAATACTCTTTCTTCTTGGGACCTGATCCCAATCCTCAACCGGGCTAGTTCCCTCAACCCCACTCCTGGAAGCTCACCAAGCAGTTCCGGCCACTCCTCTCTCGCGCCGCAGCAGCTCGAACACCCCCAGACCGGACCTGGAGCTGCGTCCTCCTGGCGCCTGCGCGCGCCGGGCAAGCGCGCCTGCGCACTTCCTGGGCCGCGAGGGCGCGGACACACCCCTGGAGCCACAGCCAATCACCGTCTGAGGGGTTTAAATCTCCCTGCCACGCAGGCGGAGAGCTTGGGGAGTCACCCGTTAACCGGATAATTCGAATCCCTCCCGACGGTGGGATGTATTCATACAACAAACATTTGTCCAGGGCAAGCCATCTACTGGATGATCGCTGAAGAAAAGGCGACAAGAAAGCCTTCCCTGCCCTCCAGGGTCTTTTGATCTGTCTAGATTAGAGATCGATATGTAAACAAATAATAGTGGATAGAATTTAGTGGCATCAGAATGTCCAAAGCGGAGTTGGTACAGAGTAACAGCAGCGTCTTATCCTTAGGGATGTCTGGAAGGGTTCCCAGAGAAAGCGACTTTTCAGTCAGGAAGGCTAAATAGGAATTCTCGCAGAAGTCTGGGATAGAGGGTGATAGTTTTCCAGCCTGCGGGAACAGCGTATGCCATTAGGAACAAGCACTTTCTGTAAATTCCTTGTAGTTCATCCTGCTCAGAGGCTTAGAGCTCATCGTGTATCTCCGGGTGAAGTGAGGAATAACCTTTAAATAGTCGGCAATGGGCTAGATCTTGCTGGTCTTGCACTTTGGGACCAGTGAGCCTGAACTTTATACTATGGCCACAGAAAGCCACTGGAGGGTTTTAAACAGATCCGGGAACTCTTCCAGGCACCTCTATTGCACAGTACTGGAAATTAATAATTAAAAAAAAAAAGCACTTCGAAGGAGCCTACTTCTAAGGGTCAAGGAAAATGAACCCTGAGAAGTATCTTTTGTATATAGTAACACAGAGGTCATTGGTGATCTTAGTGAAAGCTGTGTGGTGGAATGATGAAGTTGAAAGATAGATTGCAGGAATTTGGAGAGAGGGGAGGTGCAAAAATGGGGAGAGGTTATAAAATGCTTTTGGAAAATTTGGCCTTAATAGACAAGGGATCAAAGTTTTTGTTTCTGTTGTTTGGATTTTTGTTAGAATGAAGACAGGAGAAACTTGAGCATGATAGGCAAGATACAACTGAGGAGGGAAAATAGTTGAATAAACAGAAGTGTTACTAGATAAAGATCTTGAGAAAATAAGAGTAGAAACGATCCAAAGCACTGGTGGGAGGAACAGTCTTAGAAGAGAGATAAAGATACCTACTCAATTATAATAAGAGGAAGTATGTGTCTGTAAGTGTGTATGTTTAGTAACAGGAAGTTAAAGTTCTCATACAATGACCTCTGTTTTCTCTGTGAAGTGGGAGATGAGGTCATTTGCTAATAGGAGTTGAGAGTTTTAAGGAAAGTGGAGAAGTTTTCAAATATGGTTGTAAAAAGTGACAGAACAAGTTGATCAGAGAAAGATAGCAGGACTGGTAAGCAGTGTAAAGGGCCTGTATAAGACTGGTAAAAATGAGTTCTCCACCTTCTACCTTGGTGTGTGACTTTCTCAAGCACCAATCATTTCTTGTTGGCAGAATTGGACAAAATGTATGGTGAGTTTATTTATGGTGTATTTATTCATGGTGTAATGCCATTGTTCTCAACCAGGGACATTTTTGCCCTTGTGGGGACATTTGGCAGTGTCTGGAGACATTTTTGATTGTCAAAACGACAAAGATTGGGGTAGGGGATATAAAGAGGATACTACAGGCATTTAGTGTCCAGGGATGCTGCTAAGTATCCTGCAATGCACAGGGCAGCACAAGAATCATCTCCAAAATATCAATAGTCCCATAGTTTCAAAAAACCTGATCTAGAATTACCTTGATGCTCACCAATGGCTGACCTTGGTCTTCTACAAGCTTTTCTTTGGACTATGGCCCTGAGTTTATAGGGCAAAGTAGTCCTTCCACTGCATGCCTTTAAAAGAGAGTAGAATGAGCAGCATACCTCAAACCTTGAGTGTTTAAAGGACTTGTGATGTCACAAACACACAATTGGAATAGTTCCTCAATCCTCTAGAAGTAAATTGGAGGTGCTTGGGTGGCTCAGTCAGTTGAGTGTCTGACTTCTCTCAGGTCATAATCTTGGAGTTTGTGAGTTTGAGCCCTGCATCAGGCTCTCTGCTGTCAGCATTGAGCCTGCTTTAGATCCTTTGTCCCCCATCTCTCTGCCCCTCCCCTGCTCATGTGAGGGCTCTCTCTCTCAAAAATAAATAAATTAATTAAACATATAAAAAAATAAATAAACATAAAAAAAGAGGTTAGAAACAAGTCTGGACTTACACATAGATGGAGATGCTTGCTTTGATTTTAGGTATCACAGGTCTTGTTAAACATAGACATTATCAGACATTCAATAATATGGGAGGAGTAACACTTCATCACATTATTAATCCTAATGTAACTTGTTTTATCTGATGATTTGTAGTCACTAAAATAAGAGGGAATGAGTATGGGGTAAGTTTAATAAAGGAAATAAATACATTAAATATTAAGAATCATTGGTATTCATGTATTGTTTGCTCTTCGACAGGCAGCCATTCATGGATAGGAACTTGACCTATATTATATCTTTTAATCCTAGCAACACCCTGAGAGAGCATTATCCTAATTTTAACTATGAAGAAACTGAGGTTCTAAGAAAACTTGCAATTTGCCCAAAGTCATAAGTTACTAGTGGCTAGGTCAAAATTTGAACTCAGATCTGTCTGTCCTCAAGCTCTTGCACCATCCATTAAGTTTCAGTAGTTTCCAGGGTAGGAATAGTTGGAAATTTAGCTTAAATAATTGCCACTGCATAAAGGGAATGCTGAGGATTTAGGAAGAGAGCAGAAGCAAAAGGAAGGCCAGGGAAGAGAAAAGAGAATGAAAAAGGAACGAGAGAGGCTAGTCACAGCTGCGTTCAGTGCAACAGTAACTCTTCCTCAAGCTTGCCTGCCGGCTTTAGATCTTTCCTTCTTTTTGAGTAAAGCTTCTTTCCCCTGTGTCCGTTGTTCACTCTCGTGTGTTCAAATAAAGCTAGATTATTGAGAAAGGCGGACAGCAAAGGGGGAAAAAAAAAGGAGAGCGTGACGGTGGCGGTGTGCGCCTGCGCGCTGGCGGCGGCGGCGGCGGCGGCGGTGCCCGGCGGGGAGGGGGTCCGGAGTGGGCCGCCGGACCCAAAACTGAGGGGGGGGGGCGCCTCAGGGAGTCCCCTCGCCGGGACCTTGGCGGCCTGATGGAGTAAGAGGGGTCCGCTTTGAGTGTGAGTATCGAGAGGCCGGGCTGCGTTGAGGCGTATCGGAATGGGAGGATCCTGGTGGTCTGCCCCTAAGGTTTGGGGCTGCAGGAAGCGGCCGGGTTTTTGCTCATGCTGGCTGCGGCACAGGGGCAACCCGATCCTCCCCTCTCCCGGAGCCCGCGCGGTTTACGGGCAGGCGGTGCTTCTGGCTTCGGGGTGCAGATTCTCGCGGGGGCGTTCCAGCTCTGCTTCCAGCCCCAGCAGGAAACGCGCCTGGAAGAACCTTGACCTTAAGGGGAGGCCGCTCACCTCTTTCGGTCCCCGGTTGCACAGGGGTCCTTCAGACCCAGGTGCTTAAAGGCCTACGGGTCACAGGCCAGGGGACACCTTCGACCTCTTGTGACTGACAGCCTCCGTTCTTTTTCCTCCTTCTGTCTTCTCTCCTTTTGGGATGCGTCTTAATAATTAGGATTTATGGAGCGCTTACTACGTGTCAAGCTGATATTTAATCCGAATCTCGGTGCATAATTATGGGGAGGAAATACTTTGCACTCAAATGCTTTGGTCTGTTAAATTTAATCATCTTTAAGAGTCAGACTTCCTATGGCTCTTAGCAAGTTAGAACTGTCATCCGAGTTAAGGGAAGTTCTTCTCTTACCTAGCAAATGGGTCTTTATCTACCATAATGGTTTGTATAGAATTTACTCAAGCCGAAATAACTTGTGAGCACTTGTAAAAGCCTAATATTATTCCAAGCCCCATGGAAAATCTTAAAATGTGTTTAAAACCCTGTTCTCATGTTTGGTTGTGAATGAATCCATGGAATATTTAGATTCAGTTAAGACTTACGTAGTATTTGCTGCATGTGTACCAGGTACACTCGGGTCTGTCACAAAAAAAAACAACAACAACAGATGAGCTACTGTAATGGAAAGTGGTTTTTTGAAGCATATTTCTGATGAGGTCACTAAGGGTTTGACTATAATTTGCTCAAACTAAACTAGGACAAGAGATGAAATTCACATATGCCAGTGTCATCTTTTTCCTGTTACACCAAGTTAGAGGTCTAAGCACTGTTGAGAAGCCCCTACATTTCAGTTACAGTTTCTAGAGTTAACTCCTCAGTCTTTTCCTGTTACACCAAATTAAATATTCTAAACACTTTTGAGAAGCATCTACATTACAGTTAGAGTTTCTAGAGTTAACTCCTGAGTGTAGAGAATGGTATGTGCTTTTAAAGGTATTAGAGGGGCACCTGGGTGGCTCAGTTGGTTAAGCTTTCGACTTTGTCTCGGGTCATGATCTCACAGCTCATAAGTTTGAGCTTCGTGTTGGGCTCTGTGCTGACGGCTCAGAGCCTGGAGCCTGCTTTGGGTTCTGTGTCTCCCACTTTCTGCCCCATCCCCACTCATACTCTGTCTCTCTCTCAAAAATAAACAAACATTAAAAAATAAAATAAAGGTACTAGATACTTTTTGAAGAGAATTTCAGCATGGCTTGGAAGGTGCTAAGAGAGTGTGAAGGAGTCTGGTCAAGTTAGTTCATAACTAATTGCTTTGATGAAAAGATAATCTAAAAAGGAAAAACTGCAAATGGTAATTATCTAGCTTAGCGCACAGCACATGTAGTCTACTGTATAAGAGGCTCCTGTACAAGAAAAGGAAGGAATAATGGTAGATGCTAGCTGAATTGGTTCTGGGGCCAGGAATGACTCTGTGAGAAATAGACATGTTGTCCATTTCCTAATTCAAATATCATAGTGGGAGGTTTAGGATTAATTTATGTATCCACTGAATAAGAACATGTAGGCAGATA